GCTGCTGATGATGATGATGCTGCTGCTGCTGATGATGATGATGATGATGATGATGATGATGATGATGATGATGCTGATGATGCTGATGAGGATGAGGAGGAGGAGGAGGAGGAGGAGGAAGAGGCGGAAGAAAAGTGAGGATCTGGTTGGCGGGCCTGAGCTGAGACCCAGCCCGCAAGATTTCACTTAAGATCTGGATGCCGTGTGCGGGCTCACGGACCGCGAACTGAGTTGAGGATCTGAGGCCACTCGGATGGCTGACGCGGTGTCGTGTGAGGTCTCTCTGGGGCGTCTTGTAGCCAGTTTTGGGGGCCTCGGGGGCCTCCTGGGGAGCTCTGCGGGGCCTTTTGGGGCTCCCTCGGGGTTCTTTGGGGGCCCCTCGGGGCCTCTTGGGGGCTTCTTGGGGCGACCTGGGAGCGTTTTGGGGCCGACGGGTCGAAATTTCCATTCGGGTTTCGCCTCTGGGCCCCCTCTGGGGGCCGTCCTGGGGCTCTCTTGAGCGTCTCGGGGGTTTCTTCGGCCGTCTTGGGGCTCTCTGGGGCTGTCTTGGAGCCCTCTTTGAGGCCTCTTGGGCCGTCGTGCACGTAGTGAAAGTCCTAGAGGCGAGTCTGCTAAAAATATTCGGCTTCCGAAGGGAATGAGACGATTTTCGGTTCTAGGGGGCCCTCTGGGGGAGGTTTTCAGAGGCCTCTTGGGGCGTCGTGGAGGCATCTTTGGCCGTTTGGACGCCATCTTGGGCGTCCTGCATCGATATGTCGGCGACTCGGGGCCCTCTTGGAGTGTCTTGAGGGTTTCTTGGCAGGCCTCAGAAGCAGTCTTGGCGCTCCAAAGGGAGCCCTGGGAGGACTGGACCCCCCCGGGGGGTCTCGGAGGTGGGTCGTGACGGGCCGGGTGGGTGGGTCAAATTCCCTGTTTGGGGCCCCTGGGGGGAGGATTATTTTTGGGGAAGAATTTCACACGTCTAGAGACCCACAAGGGGCTGGCGGACTTCAACGGGGAGGAAAAGGAGCTCCTGGAGGCAATCACGGCGCTCAAGTCTGCCGTCACCGTGCTGTCGAAGCACCACGGCGGGGCGTTTTTGCAGGCGGGCCACCCTGTCCGAAGGGGCCGACATTTCTCTCTCTCTCTCTCTCTCTCTCTATATATATATGTTTGTATGGGTATGCATCACTATACATTATGTACATGTGCATATATGTACGCAATATATATATATATATATATATATATATATATATTCATATATATGTATACATATATACATTCACATACGTACATTTACATACATGATTACACAGACACTTGTATAATCATGCATCATGCACAAACTGTTCGCGGCGAACTACAGTCGAGCATCTGATTCAGATACCTTCTCCTGAAAAGCTGGGCCAGCATTTCTTGACCAACTTGCCGGAAAGCTGGCCCAATTTCTTGAGCGCGTTCGCCCATCCAACGTTAGCAACAGAAATATGCCCAGGCTGTTTTAAGAACCGTCCGGAAATTTGAACCATATTTCTCAAATGATAGTTTTCATGATTCTATTTTCGACTGCTTGCACAGCGGACCAGTAGCTCACCTGTAGCTCACTCGTCGTCAGGAAGGGCTGGCTCAGGCACTGTACGGGTTTCTTGTTTCTAGTCTTCGGGCGGATCTCGCGCTCATGCTCTATCCACGCATGGCTTTGTACTCGCTGATGCCAGGCGTGCGGTCAGAGAAAAAGCCAGATCTGCTACCAGCCAGTACGATGCTGTCCAATCGCAGTCTGATGGATCAACCGATCGGTGATAAGTTGTTCATTCTTTGCAAAGTTGAATCTTCCTTTACCCGGGCCGACCATGCCAAACATCCATCCACGCACTATCACAGCTCAGCAGCTGCTTCGACACGGCAATTGCATTATTTACTGCTGCCTTCTTGGGGCCTACTTGGACTTCGAGCGTCGTTATAACCTGCCACACGCTAGCTTCCTCAATACATTTTGGGCGAGCTATTTCAGAGCCTGTTCTGTTACCGTCACTTGCAACCAAGTGTATATCTAATCTTTCATATGTCATGGTGGCCAGTGGAGACGTGTTGGGACCACGAGCGAGTCACACATAACTGCCAGCGTTGGAGCGATAGGCTTGGGATGGCGATCGAGGAAGACGGTGGCGTTGGCGTGGTGGCGTTGGCGTAGCGACGGCGACTCCAATGCTGGTGATACCGATGGTGGGTGGGGATGGGTTGAGGCGCGGTGCAGCAGCCTGCCCGCACAGCAATTTACAATTTTGGGATCCTGCGCGCTCACAGAGGGCATCACTGCTTGACCGCTTTTGCAATCACCGCTGCCTCGTCGCCTGCTCCTCTCATCGCCTTCCCCCCGCGGGGCTGTGGGCCTTCCTCCGACCTTTCGCTGATTCCAGACGTTGGCATCGATGCTGGTGTGCTCGGCTCCACCTGTCCAGGCCAAGGCGTCGCTGCGACGTCCAGGCTGCCCTTGGCCGTGCGAAACAAGTCAGTG